TACGCTCCGACCCCTTGATGGGAACAGAAGGTGTTGGTTAAGGAGAGGAACCGGGCTACGAGCTGGCGGCCACCCCGGCGCAAGAGCCTGCCGGCTGCACCACACACAGTGCCTCTGGGCAGAGGAAGCAGGAGGAAAAAGAAGAAAAAGGAGGAAAAGTCATGTTTATTGAGTTGCTGGTGCTGCCCACCAGCTCCCTTGTGAGGAGGGGAAGGAAGGGCACGGCCAGCCGGGGCACCGGGAGCCACCTGCGGAGAGGAGAGGCCACGTGTGGTGGGGGCTACGGAAGGGAGGGGGGCTGCTTCCTTCCACCCAGCCCCGGCCATCACCGCTTTCCCACCACTGCCGGGCCAGGAAAGCACAGCCGCAGCCTCGGCATGCAGCAAGCGGCAGCAGCAGCATCCTCTCGAGACTCACACAGAGGAGGGACCCGGCCCTTAAACAGTTTTAGCTGCTCCTGCTCAGCAAAGCTGTTTAAAGCCTGCAGGGGCTGAGCACGCAGACAGGCAGCACCCAGGGTCTCCCACGGCCGCCTAACGCCGAGGGGATGGAGAAGGGGAAAAAAAAAAAGGCATGGCAATGTGCAATGGGCGATGCAGGCGGTGATGGGCAGCACACAGGCACGGCAGCCGAAAAAGACAACGGGGGCCAGCTCAATTCCTTTTATTCAAACAATAACTCAGTACAGGGCACATTTCTCTCTGGCTTTTAAAAAAGGTTTTTCAGCACTTTACAATGTCCATACAGGTTTTGCTAGGCTGGGTTTTTTCCCCCCCCCTCTACATTCAGTCATTCAGCATGAAATATCCTGGGTTAAAAATCTTTAGCAAAATCAGGACATCGATGCAGGAGGGTCTCGTTACAATACGCCCATAGGCAAGTATATAAAACAAAAACTTGTCCGTGTGTGTGTCTGTATTGCCAGCAATGTCCTAGTAAACAGGCAATGTAAGAGGTTTTAAAAATCACATCAGAAAAAGAAAGCGTGTACAGCTTTGCAGTGGAGACGGCCACGGGCACTGGAAGGGCTACGGCCGGGCTCGGCTGCGGGAGCAGGACCCCGAGCGCCGACCCAGCAGGGTGGGAGACCCCAGCCACTGCCGAGCCCCCCGGCGCAGCGGGGGGGGGCTGCCTCGCTCAAGCCCTGTTTAGGGATGCGAGTGCATCCTTGGACGGCTCCGCACCAGCCCCCAGCGCTAACGTGAGGTAACAATACCTTGCTACAAAAAAATATATATATATTTATAAAACAACCAGGAGTAACCCTTCCAGGGGGGCTGCCGGCTGCACCCGACGGCCAGTGGGTCTCCAGCCAAGAAGCAGCCCTTTCCCCGGGGCAGGAGCTCTGCACTATCTGCTTCTCCCAAACCACCCGCAGCAGGCGGTTGGATGGAAGCGGATCAGGCCGAGGGGGAGGCGCGGGGCTGCTGCCCCCCCGTGGGAACGGCATCCCGGGTGCGGGCATCCCGGATGCTCGGTAACAGTACGGACACCAGAGGCCATGCATATTTGTTCCGGTCTGGGAGGTTTTGTCCAGGCTCGTGCGAGGCGGCTGGTGTGCAGCCCCAGAGGAGGGATAGTGCATCGCTAACATTCACACAGCGGTACAAAAACTGGGTCCCACTAAAGTGTAAACTGCATCCAGGCTGCTTCAAAGCGAGCACAGACCGATTGGCAGTTTCTGCTCTGAAAAGGCTTCAGAAACAAGGGCACTGTGAACACCGGGGAGGGGTGGAGAAGCACCATGGTTTCCTTGAAGATCACAAGAGTTTAAAATCCAAAAGAAGTCGAGAAAGAGAAACGAGGGGGAAAGAAAAAAAAAGAGGGGAAAGAAGCAGAAAGCTCTTCCAAGCAGCAAGGGGCCGCCGCTAGCCAAGGTGTCCTCACACCGTTGATACCAAACTGCCACTGCCGCTGCGGAACAAAGCACAGGAGACTGCCAGAGTGGCCGGGACCGCCAGCACGCGCCACGAGGCAGCACCATGCCCAGGAGCCCAGCTCCCCGGCATGGTGCCACGGGGACCAGCAGCAGCACCCCCACCGCAGAGCGGGGCGGCGAGCTCGACCCCTGCCCATCACCACTTTGCTCGCAGCCCGCGCCTGCAGGTTTGGGGTTTATCCCCAAGAGCAAGATGGGGCGGCTCCAAGGCAGAGGGAATGGGGATGGAGGAGCTGCTGGGTGGGAGAAGGTGCCGGGGAAAGAACCCAAGAGCGTGCGCTCTCTGGGGCCTCGCTACCCAGGCACAAGCCCCAGAAAGGAGGCTGGGGAGATGCGACTCTCTCCAGAGGAGCACAAGGGGTGGGAGGTCAGGGACGCAGGGGCTGGCCCCGGGACTTGCCCTCCCCGGGAGACGCTGGGTCCCTCCGCGCTCACAGAAGAGACCTGCACCATGTCCTTCACCGCACAGCCCCATCCCAGCCACCGCCTGTCCCCCGGGGAGCCCGCGCAGGGACCCACATGGGGACACGGCACCACGGCTTCACCCAGAGCCAACACCAACAGTTCACTTTCAGGTAACGCAACAGGAAGGTGAAGTCTTACCTGCTGACGGACCTCGTCCCGTAGTCGTCGAGACCCTGCGGAGAGGAGGGGAGGAAGCACGGTGAGGGGTGGGGGACGTGGGCTGTGCCCGTTCAGGTGCCACTGGAGGGTCACACAAACAGACCAAAGTGCATCGGGACCCAGGGATGCCGGGGCCGAGAGCCAATGCATTTGGAGAGGAAAGGGAGATATGGAGATGATTTAAACGGCATTTAGACAGAGAGTAAAGTTGCACCACTTTCTTTGGAGCAGGACTTTATTCTGGCAAGACAAGGGAAAGCAACAGCCAGGAGAGCCCCGGTCTGCTCTGCCTAGCCCCACCGTGGTACAGAGCTCCAGCCACTTTTGAGATGCAAGACACTCAAAAAAGGGATCGAACAAGTCTGAGAGACACCAGTGAAATGTTCTGTGGAAAGAGGTGTTTGTCTGTATTAACTCCCACCAGAAACCCACAGGGTTTTGGACCATTTTCTCCTTCAGCTGGTACTGAACAGCCTTTGCAGCAGGGAAGGACTGCAGTGGTCCAAGGAGCAGAGGGGGACCGGGCTCAGAGGACGTCCCTTGAGGACATCGCTCCCCAGGCAAGGACCTGCCCTGGGATACAGCCATGGAGCAGCTCTGCTCTCCGTGACAAACACGGGACCGCTCCAGGAAGGAGTAGGAGTCGCTGAGCTGGCCACGCACCAGGGATCAGAGACCCATGTTCCCACCGTTCCAGGAACGCTCCCCCAATCACAAAACCACAAATCCAGCAGCAAACCCTGCTGGGAAAACCCAGCAAACAGAAGTGGGGCTGTGCTTGCCCATCCCCTGCAGAGAAGGCCAGACCCCAGCTGGAGCTGCCCCCTCTCCTGAGCACCCTGCCGAAGGGTCAGGTGCTGTATGGCCGCCTCTCCCCCTCCTCATCATCTCCCCATGCGCCAGCACATTCCAAGCGCTCCAGGGAAGCCAATGTGGCTCAACCCACCACGCTCGTTCTGGCGGGGAAGCCCCACGCCAGTGGCTCCTGGATTAAGTTGATCTCGTCCACACATGCATCTTTCCCAATGCATTGTCCGAGAAGCCCTGAGCTCATTTTGGACAACCACCAGAACCCTGGACAGGGTCTGCCCCAGCCCTGCACACTCACTCCAGTGTTCCCACGGGACCATCACTGGCTTGAATCGGCATGTGCCAGAGAAAACGCTTCCAGCTGCCTGTGAACAGCTCGTTTCTGGTGGGAGGCTCCCATGGAGTCTGCAAGTGTTGTCCTCTGGGGGTTTACGGTGCCATTTTGTGCCATTCGCTCCCCATGCCTTGCCCGTTCTGCCCACGTCAGCCAAACCGGCTGGTCCTCCCCATCCGCTGCTCTCCTCTCCCGCCGCCTCCCTGCATCCCCCATCCCTTCTGCCCCAGGAGATGCTCAGCAGGAGACGGGGCCCCGGGCAAGGCACACAGGTCACCAGGCAAAAACAGCCAACTGCCTGTAAACCCCAAGGGAAACATTGCGTGCGTTCGGACTTACAGCTGTCGACCTAGTGTAAGGCTTGTAGTGAGCAGAGGGTGGTTGGCAGAGGCCACTGGAATAGTCTTTAATTGCACAACCATAGGGCAATAGGTAGTCCTACAAACAACGAACACAGGTTGGAGAGCAGCCCTCCTTCACCTCCCCGTGGTCTACACCACGCCAAGACTGAGAAGATGCTTTAACACATTTCACCCTTCTGCTTTAAAACCACAGGCGGGACGGAGACGCCGCAGACACCCGGGTCACCGCGCGCGTGCAGGGCCCCAGCAGGGACTAACGCCCAGGACTTTGCTCAAGCATCTCCCATTTATAAAAAGTCCTCCCCGAAGTGGGAGAAGCCCCCGCTGCTCTGCGGACTCACCTGGGAGAAGGCGGGCACGGCCACGCTGTACGGCCTCTGCTTGAAGGTGTTGACGCCTTGCGCCGGGAAGGCTTGGGAGGCCATGCCGTAGTCAGGCGGCGGGATGGCGATGTCGTCTTTGTCCAGCAGGTTGCCGGTGCTGCTGCTCTTCCCTTGCTGCAGGCTGGGTGGGGGGACCCAAAGCAGAAGCATCAGCACCAGCCCATCCTGGGCTGAGACCCCCAGGCTGCCCGTCCACCCACGGCAGGGGACCCCCATGGCCAAAGCTCCCCTCCGAGCCAGCTATCACCCGCTTGGGCTGGGAGTTACTCCTAACAACGTGCATCATGTCCAGGGGAAGCAGAGTATTCCCATCCCAAGCCCACAAGCCTGCCCTAGGAGGGGCACCCGGCACGGCACCCGCGTGATGCTCCTACCTCGTGTGGACCCGCTCGCTGCCATCGCTGTCGAGGACCCGCGTGTAGGAGAAAGGAAACCAGCCCCTCCTGAAAGGTAAAGGCAGGGGATGAAGCCAAACCCATGTTTATTCATGGAGGATCCAGAAGAGGCTGCACCCGGGGTGCAGCGGTTCACAGGGATGGCCACGGCACTCACATTTTTGTTTTCTCGCTCTCTCCGTAATGCCAGCCGTCCCTGGCTTCCGGCACAAGCAGTGTGATGAGGTCACCCTCCTTGAAGCTCAGGAGGGTGCTGTTATCTCCAGCAGCGTGAGAGAAAATGGCCTGCACCCTCGTCCTGCCGTTCCTCTCGAGCCCTGCAGCCATGGAGCTGGAGCGCGGCAGCGTCTTGTTTTCAACTGGTGGGAGAGAGACCGACGAGTGCCCCAAGTCCTTCACCCCTCGGCCAAGCCCAGGCACAGGTAGGGGCAGGTCCCTAACCTTGCTTATTTTACCCCAGGTGCCAACAAAACCCTCAGTGTTTGACTCGCACCTTCCTCCTTAACGAGCAGGATCCCAGGCAGGATCAGGCCACTGCTCTTGGCATCACCCCCCAGCCGCGGCAAAGGGAACAGCCTCCCTACGCGAGACTCCTCACAGTTTTTCTCCTTGAAATCCTGTCCGTGGGGTGAAAGCCCACCC